TCTCTGTTAAAAGGAGTTCGGTCTAGACCCGCTCTATTTGAAAAGTGTCCTGAGATAACTTCTGTTATGAATTGGTGCTATACAAATAAATTGAATTGAACTGAATTAAATAAGCAACTGTTTGCTACAAAATTCACCATGGTGAGGATATACCTTTTGTTTCTGCAGCCCTGAGGTGGCAAAAAACAAATCTGTTACTGCAGGTTTTGGCCAACAAACTCCACGGTCATCAGCTAGAAATGAGAAACTTCTTTTTGCTTATTTCTCTGCGAAATCGAATACCCACTGTTTCAAACATTACTGCAAATTTCAAGACAGATAAATCTGTTATTCACCGTCATTACTTTGAGCTGCATAAGTGCCTCGCTAGAATGACAGCTTGGCATGCCTAGCAACAGTAACTAAGAGGGGGTGGGGCTTAGCGAATGGTCAATTACTCAACCTTAGAAAATGAGTCACTGTCCTAACTCTCATTTTCTGTCACTGCTGTCTACATTATCCATCTGAATTTATCAGGATCAAGCAGATAACTAGAGGCTCAGTCTTTTGAAGCCCCCTTTGTATAAATCAGAGATCTTTCCGCCTTGTCTTTGTGGTGGGAAGATAGCGTTCTCTGAGACTGGAGTAAATCTTATAGCTACACCCAAACACATATTAGCTCAGATTAGTTTAGCCCCAGAGGTAATGACACCTAATAAGAGAAGACTAATGAAAATAATATATTTACAGATCCAGGCTGCACTGTGACTCCGCCTCTGGTTCTCCCTACCACCAGCCTCACACACGCACACACACACACACACACACACACACACACTTCCACACTCCCATACTATTACACGCATGCACAAAGACACACATATGCATGCACACGCTCCTCTTGATATGCCTTTACATGGGTAAATAGATAGGACTAGGCAAGACCTGCAGCAGCCTGTTGCTAGGTTACCTCTTTAGTGATTCTTTCTCATCCTGGGTAACAAACAGCTCCTCTGTTGCCTGGTACACACATACGCACACATAGTGTATGCACACACGCACATGCACATACACCGACAGCAACACACAAACATTGTCCATCTCTGTGTGGACAGAGAGAGCACCTGTCTGCTTTATGGGTTTAATCTCATCGAGAAAGCATGGTGAGTGGAGGGAATAGGGGACCCTCACTTGGCTTTTACGTCCTTTCCACCCCTCCCTCTCGGCCAGGCTGCCCTCAGAGACAGCAAATAGATAGATGGATGTGTGGGCAATGACTGCACCCAAGAATCGTTTTTCTGTATGGGGTTATCTTAAAGATTGTGGTCAAAGGACTAGAGTTTGGGCAAGCAAAGTGCAGAAATGTATCATTCCTGTGTAGAAATGGGCGTGGGAAGTAAATACAGCCAACATGGAGGACAGTGAGGGATTTAACTTCAAGACATTTTATTTTAGGATGAAATCAAGTCGCAGAACACTGCTGAGATTTGGCTACTGTATTGAACGTCCATCTGATTAAACAGCAGAGACAGCATGCTGATTCTACCAGTTTAGAAAAGCGTTTTTATACTTGGATAACACACACATACTTAATTTTCTGTTATAGAGAGCACAGATAATGTCTTTCAACCAAACAGGCACAGGTTTCAGTCACTGGGTTTGCATGTACCCACTCTGGTGAAGTGTGCATGAGCCTTAAAAAAAACCCTTGAGCTGCTGGGGTGGGACGTCATACAGAGACAGCGTTCAGTCAAAAGCACTGCAGTTGGATTTTAAGGAAGAAGATTCAGTTTCATGGTATTATTGAGAGGGATATTTATTTATATATCATTTCAACAAGTCCAAACTATGAGATAATATCAAAAGACAAGAGTGTAAAATGTTGTAAGCTGTCATAGGAATATATTGCTAAATTGGGTTATACAATGGCATTTTTTATTTATTGTTATTTTTGTTGTAAATGAATCAATGAATATTGGGCCCACAAAACCCATTCAGAATCATTTCAGAAGTTTCTAAATTGTGAGGTTATAGATGGTCAAAGAAACCTTTTGTCATGTTGGCACAAGGTTTATAAAGATCTGAACTTATACAAAGTATCACGATCAAACAACTTTGCTAGCTGGAAATTGGGTAACTGAAGTCACTGTATATATATAAAACAATTATTTACAAGGCAAGTTTTTTTTAATATAGCTGTGTGTCCTATTAATGTATGTCTAGTTGTTCGCTTTCTGTCCGTTGAGAGATTTACATCAATTGGTAGTGCAGACACACAGGGCTTGGGATACAACCTGAGCCACATGCTCTCTCCTCCTCATGTTTCATCTGCCTCTGTCTATCACTCTCTCGCCCCCTCTCTCATCCTCCTCTCTCTCTTTCTCTCTCTCTCCCTGTTTTACTCTGCAGCAAAGAACTGTTCCTACTTCAAACACTTTACCTCGGGGGAAGAAGCTGAGGTTTTTGAAGTCAAGACCCAGAAAGGTGGGTGCCTCCTCACTCACTGCCACCCAGACTACATGTTATAACAGATCCTGTTTTTCTGGGACCCAACTGTGTGTCGGTGATGACAAAGAAACATAACAGAAACCATTTCTAGTAGTTTTCTTAGTAAGAGGAACGAAGGTGCACAGCAATTTTATGCATGTATATATGCTCAGGTATCCTTTATTATTCAAATCTAAGCACAGCATATGAAGAAATGCCTGTATGTCACATGTAAGACCCCAACAACCGGGTCTTCCCCACATACCTACAAATTTTCAATAGCAAACACATTTTAAAAGGAAATGTTAATGTCGCCTGGAATACGTTTTATATATAGCAATGTTTCCGCACAAACTCAGTTACATGCACACGTTCCCTCATGTTCGATAAGAAAGAAATCTGTTTCAATATCCTCTGATTTTCATTTTCTCATCTTCCCCCGCCTTAGCAAGATTGCTACTTTCAAAAGTAAACGTATTTTCAGGAAAAGGTTCTTCTGTATGTTAGCAACGTGAACCTTCAGCTTCTGACTAGACACAGAGGAGCGAACAGCCAGATACTCATACAGGAAGGCAATTACAGATGTGTCTGAGCTTTAAATTGCAATAGATAGAGCATGGTTACATCTTGCTTGAATTAAGTGAAGAAAAACGTATGTGTCTTTAAGAACATATTGAAAATTATACTGTTTTTACAGGGTCAACAGGAGTGCACACTACACACTGTGTAGCACAAGACACAGAATGTTATGGCCAACAATCAGTCATTCAGACAAGAACAGCAAGGGAAACTTTATTTGTTGAGTACATTTTATGCAGGTTTTTTTTAATTACTTACTATTGAGAACAATGAATTAAATGTCAGAAGCAAAACAAATCCACAATATAAAAGGCGTGTTCAAGGAGGGTTACAGCTTTAGTACACTGACAGACAAGGCCCATTGCAGTGGTGGAACGTTTATTAACTCAAATACTGTTCTTAAGTAGAAATCTGAGATATTTTCATTTTATGAATATGTCTACTATATAATAATACAAAATATAAACAAATGATGATGTATTATTATTTGGGATATTCACAAGCTTACTGGCAGTATATATAGTAGAAAATAAGTCCCACCGTACCAGCTGCAAAAAGTTATGTACATCTTACTGCATCAATTTTGATCATTTACAATATAAATTCTGAAATGGGCCAATCTGCAATATTACTAATTTTCTACACCCTGTGTAGATAAAATAGCTCATTCTAAGGTAACAAAAACACAACAATGTCCTATATTCAGGTGATTATACACAAATATAAAACATACCTATAAATATTATTCCATTTCTGCCAATAGATCCTCCCACATGTTACACACTGGACCTTTAAATAAAACATTTGAGTTCCACCACTGACCTTGTACCAGCAAAAAAGTCCTACATAGAATAAAATACAAGAAATAAATCAAATCTGGGCACTGTGGAAATCTGTTAATGGAACATAACACAGTGCAAACTCAAGGCTCAAGCTAAAACATGCACACATGAAATGACTAAAACCATTTACAGAGACTTTCACACACACAAATACTCACACAGACCAAGAGTTCTCAAAATGAGCCCGAACCGCACTGGAGAGACTGAGTGCAAGGTTATTTTACACCTGGTGTTACGCCACAGTCGGGATGCTGAAATGGAATAGGATGCTCCAAGGATCATTTCTATCGCAGCTGGAGTGTTATAGAGAAGGAAAGACTAGATTATCTTTATCTAACAGACAGGAGGGGAGGCGGGCAGCAAAAGAGGGAGAGATGTTCTAATCACCTCGTTATAAGCCTGCAGCATCTTATCTGTCATGCAAATGACATTATTGCCAGTTTGGATAAATGACTGTTGTTTTTAAAGTGAGGCTAATTTAAAGGCTAATTATCTGTGTCATAACTCGCCTGAGCGCAATATTGAAACAATTATTATGGAAACGATACTGCAACCTCCCCTTCTGTTCCTACCCCCTCGCTCAATTTTTTAATCGCTACCACTTTCCTGTCTCACTCTTGCCTCCTCGCTGTTTCTCTTTCTTTGTCTCTACTCTCTCCCTGTTTGTTCTCTTTCTTTTTCTGTCTCTTTCACACCTTTCCTCTTATTCTTTTTTCCCAATCTCTCCGCTCTTCTCAGAGTACAATATTTCAGCAGCAGCCATCGCCATCTTCAGTCTGTTCTTCATGATCCTGGGCACCCTCTGTGTCATCTTCTCTTTCGGGAAAGGGCGGGACTACCTGCTCCGGCCTGCTGGGATGTTCTTCGCCTTTGCAGGTAAGATATGGCAGATAATGTGAATGTAATGTGAAATCACAGATCGGGCTTCGTGTAGTACTCTTGTCTCAGTGCCTACAGCTTGAAATGAGGTGTGTCAGTGTCATAATCACACACAGTTTTCCTTTTGATGATGAATATTACTTATGCAGCTAATTTAACAGAAATGACCAAGCTGATTTTTCACTGACAATTTCTTTTGGATGTGGCAAGTGCAGATAGACTCTGGGGTGACAATTCGAAAGATCTACAAGTGTTAAATTAACTTTGATGGGTGCAAACTCCCATCCAGCATCACAGTTACTGTTACAGACTTAACAGGTTAAAATAACAGTGACAGTCTTGCAGTGTAAATGTGGAACCTGTCATAAATGCGAGTGAAGCATCTGCCTTTACCAGCGTTCTCTCTGTTTTGGCATGCAGGCCTTTGCATCATCATTTGTGTCGAGGTAATGCGCCAGTCTGTCAAGCGTATGATTGACAGTGATGAGACCATCTGGATTGAATACTACTACTCCTGGTCTTTTACCTGTGCCTGCGCCTCCTTCACCCTGCTCATCCTCAGTGGAGTTGCCCTGCTCCTCATCTCCATGCCCCACATGCCACGTAACCCCTGGGAGACCTGCATGGACGCTGAGCCTGACACCTTAGATTAGCCAGACACACGTTTAAAGGCCTGGTTAAAATGGCATGAAAATACGAGTGGTTTTGCATCTTTTAGCCCTTTAATTACTGCAAGCCATTTTCAAAAGCATTAAAGTTTTTAGCTTCATTTTCCACCTTTCTTGGCTATTGATTTCAGGTCATGTTAGTAAAATATTAAAATCAACTTATGATAGATAACCAGCCAGAGCAGTGATGTTCACATCTTCAAAGCAGTTGGAAGCAGCAACTGTTTTGAAAAGTCTTCCTTGTTGGTGTGTTTAAGTGCTGAGGAATAATTAAGTAGCATCTAAGACTTAAAAGTTGTCTGCTGAACAGCACCTTTTTTGAAGCAAAAATGTACCAAACTCACATTATGTTTTTGTTTTAGGTCTATATGTGTTTTTTTATTATTATTGTGTTAGGGGTTTGGTTTTGTGACAACATATCTCATAAATGCAAAGCTTGTCAGCAGCAGTGTTTCAGTTTTAGGATGTTGGAGCTTTCCACAAGCACCTGAACACACCAACGCACCAAGTGGGCCCTGCTAGTAACTGCCTCATTAAGTGACCAAATAAGCAAAGTTAAGCATTTTTCTAATTGATTTTCATACTGTGCTAAAAATTAACTGGAAGCAGTGGACACCTGGAAGTCTAGAAGATCAATCTAGATGTATGGTATACTTTGGAAAATGTTGAAGTACAAACTATTGGTTGTAAATGTGTTAAATATGAAGACTGAATCGCCCTTTAAGGCTTGACTAGACAAGGGTCAAGTGCCACATTTAAGAGTAAAGAGAAAGGTCATTAGTGGCTAATCTGACAACATCTAAACTCTCAACAACTGCACTTGATGATCTGTTACTCAGATGTTCTTTTTTATTGGACTAAACCTAGATAAAACACAACATGATAACAAACAGGTTAGATATCATCAAACATTAAGACTCAATAAATCTAAATCTAATTCCTAAGATAGGAAGTCCAGGCAAGATTTAAGACTGGAATAAACTTTGTCACACCAAAGCAGATAAAGGCGATGAGCAATTGCACTGTAATGCTTTGTTTAAAGTAGTGAATCGTTATAATGGGCTACTGTCACTGCAGTATTTTCTTTTCTCCAAGGACTTTCTACAATCAATCCGTGTCATTGATTGTCTAGAGAGAGACCACTTGCCTGATACTCCCTTGTTGACATCAGTCATTTATTTCAGGTCAATGTTCAAGACCCCAGGTAACTTAAGTCGGGATCTCCAATCCATAATATTGCCCGTAGTATTTGCTGAGCCTCGGGGTCACGCTTTATATGTCAGCAAATGTAGGTGTTCTGCTTTTAGTGGGCATTTAAAAAAAAAAATTATAACATCAGAATATACAATACAATATATTTAGAAAATAATTGACCATTTGATAACGCCCTACCCAATCATAGCTTAGTAATGGTAACCACATGGCAGGTCTGTCAAGCTAAAGATTAAAGGTAAAGGGGCTGTAAGAGCTATACCCTGTATCCAAAACCAAACATACAAGCACAAAAGTGTAAGAAATGCATTATACAGTTTGTTAATCCAGCGTTACTCCCAAAGCAAGCAACATTTCATGATTTTGTGGGGTTACAGGTTAAATAATAAAAAAGAAAACACATGTTCTTCTCTAGCACATTCACTGTGTAGCTACAATTTCCTCACTTTGTGACAACCGGTCCTGGATGCGACTGTATCAGAGCATAGGCTAACGTTAGTGGATCTGGCTTCCATCGTTACCAGAGGTCGCGTTATGTCCAACAAACACAATGGGTAACTTGTAATATTAAAAGTGAAACATTGATAAAACTAACTATAAATTGAACACACTTGTCCAAGTATACATAAACAATGCTTTTTATTTGTTTCCATGTCTTCTACATGGTTAGTATGCTCACTTTTTGTCTGGGACATGGAGCTTTACCCTCAGTCTTTTAGCACAATGTCATGAATGCAGCCACCAACTGGATATTTAAGATTCCCTTAAAACATGGAAAATAATAAACATATTATGTAAAATTCCCCTTTAAAACGAATCAGCAGTAAACATGAAATAGCTGGAGACACCATGAAGCTTAACGTTAGCTTAATTAGTTAGCCCAAGAAATGCTAAAATCAGCAAAAGTTGTCATTCCAGCAGAGAAAACTGACGGCCGCTGGCTAGAAACGAGAAGCCTGCTTTTGTCTGGCTTTGTTTGAAATCAAGGGCTGGACCATTGTTGTGAAAATTACTAAGAATTTCAAGGTAAATCTGTAATTGTTATCACTGTAAACTGAATATGTGCAAAAATGATATGCTTGACAGGCATAGCAACAGTAACTAAGGTGGGCTTAGCAAATCAATCAATTGAATGTTTGCAACAAAATATAAAATACATTACATACATTACATAAAATACATAGCATACATCCATAGAGAATTTCTTTCATGTTTAGCAAAAAATATAGATGTTTGTGGAGCTTTTTTTATTTGCAATGTTGTATTAAATTATGTAACTTTTCTTTTGGGGCCATAAATGCCTAAAGCTAATATATTTAGGATAAGTATGACACAGATGACTTTTCATTTAAATATTGCCTATGATTATAAAATGGTACCTTAAAGCTTAAGTATCTTTTGTGTTCTGTAGACAACTATATTGTTGCTATCAGTCGCTAATTATTTTCATGATCAATATCATAAACAACCTTTTCAATTCTAGTTAAAACCAATAAAAACACCAACATCAGGTTTCATCTGACAGCAGTCATTTTACTTGGCTCTTTTTCCTGCGTAGATTTTACACAAGGGTCGTATATTGTTGGCAAAACAGTCTTCTACGTCTAGCATATTATTTTTCAGTGAGTCACCCTGGCCCCGATGTCATTCAGCCATGGTGCAGGTGCAGTGAAATTAAAGTTCCATAAATGACGCTGTTTCACAGGGGAACACAAGAGGAAATGATTACATTTAGCTCTGAGGTCCTTCTGAGAGGAACATTATCATTTTTCTTACTGCAATCACAAAAGTTACTTGGTCATTGTACAGGTTTGTATTTTAGAAAGATGAAACAATACCTGTATGTTTTTTCCTTTCATTTTATTGACTATTTTATATAACCTACAGTGGGGGATCATAAGAGATGTTTAATACAATAATATACAATAAACCTGTAGGAGTTTTTGTGAAAAAAAGACCAGAGTTTAGTATTTATGGCAAACAATACACCTGATTTGTATTAGATTTGTATAAGTATAGTCCATGACTGTCTTTTTTCAGAAGAACTATAATAAAAAATTACCACTAACAAGGTTAATAATGCTGTTTTATGTTGCTATGACTTCTTCTGCACAGGTCTTTTCCACATGTACCATCAGTCTTCTACCAATATGCCGGTATCATCATGTTTGTTCCCCTCTGTTTCCATTACTGTGGAAATTCTATTAACACGTATGAAATAAAGCAGGGTTACAGCCTTTCCTCTATTATGTTTTTATATGTTTACCTATAGATAGAAAGAGTCAATGGGTGCACATTTATTCAGGAAATAAAAATGTCAAGTCTTTTGTTTAATAACAATTCAACTATCCTTGTGTCATCGCTCGCTTCAGTCCAGGAATCTCTCAGCTACAGAATGTAGTTGAATTGAGAGACAAACCTATTGGAAATGCTTCAGAGACCGTACACACTGCAGGTCAGGGCTTTTCAGGAGTGGATGTAATAGATGCACGAAGCTCATTAAATCATTCATGAGACCTTTACCTTGGAGCAATGAGACCACCGGCATGACGGAGCGTACATTAACACACAGCCGTATTTACTCTCTGCCTCTCTACATCAGTTTTGATCCCTGGGATCCCCTCATGGTTTTCAAACACAATATTTCCATACAACTGAGAAACAATGTGTTCAATATTTTGGCAAATAAAATAACACGCACAGAAATGATGTGCTTATGGATCACACATTTAGTCCAAGGTGGGAGCACAAAAGGGTTGGTTGAATATACATAAATTGGCAGTGGATGAATTTATTAATGCTGAAGGCCTGCAGATGATTTTGATTGAATGTTGACTGTACACACTAACCTGTAAGGCCATTAAACCGTGTGCACAGGCAAAGGTGGGTCCATAAATAATGTAAACTTGCTTAAAGGTGAGTAGGATTTGGTGGCATCTAGCGGTGAAGCTGCAGATTGCAACCATTAGATACATGGACTACGATACGATTCAGGGATTATTTAGATCAATCCAGGTTCCTAATGTTGTTGTATCTATAGCATTAAAACCGATTTCCAACTGTTATTGCTAAATCTTTAAACCCCTAATTATATATACATATATATGTGTATATATATGGTTGCTGCTGTTTACATTCCCTATGATGCACAAAATGCACTGCAGAAGGATTTCCTGGTAGTATAGCTGTATATGTATAGATGTATATAAATTAAGGTGATGATGGATTAGATAACAATAGATAGTGTTATAGATCACATAATGATCTCTGCAGGGAAACAGACAATGGGAGATTTGTCAAATTATGATCAGTGTTTATAATGAGTTAAATATAAGGTTGTATCTTATTTTTTGACTAGTCTATGGGTGTAGATGTACGTTATGGAATCTTACTTTTGTCTCGTGTTTGTCTCAGACTTATTTTTAGTACCATTTATAAAATGTGAATTGAAGTGAATGCTGAATACTACTTGAAAAGAAGAAGAAGGACATTTTAATTTAAACTCAGAATTACTTCTGGACATGTGACCACAGCCACTGCTTTGTCTCACCTTGCTTTGTCACTTTGTCGATGAGGAAAGCTGATGTTTGCAGGAGTCATCCAGTCCTTTGAGTCACGGCTATGAATGTAAAGCTGTCAGTCCCTTTCCTGACCTCTGACTGAGTGCTGTCAAAGCTGTTACTATTCTCTACACACAGCAGTACAGTGCAAACATTTCACATTCAGCTGTGCCCCTCAGAGAGTGTGTGAGCTGGCAAAAAAATTTAAATCACAGGGTTAGACTTCTTGCAAGTCTAGCGGACGGGGAAGAAAAAGAACATGAGATGAAATTGACATGACTGGATATTGTGTGGAGCCGGAGTGATGACAGCAACAGATAGACAGAGAGATACATACAACACCCTGAGAAAGGACAGATGGACACAAGCTGGCCATGAAGACCAACTGACAGAAGACATGATCCTTATAAAGAGCTGTGAAGACCAAAGCCAAAGTGACAATAT